ATACGCAGTTTTCGCGTGCATATGATACGCATCTACCCCACAACCCTAAACCTACCTATGGCGTAGCATATACAGCCAAAATCCATTTTTGCATATCAATACCACGAGTTTTCGTTTTTATTTGGCGTACTATTTATACGCACTTTCATGAGATCGGGTTGAAAACTGACATCTTTTAGACGTCTCTCAGAGGTTTGTACACAGCAGATGCTTTCCAGATGAAGCGATCTTGTATGTGTGCTATCTGGGGAGGTAGGTGGGATCATAATAATAATAATAATAATAAAGATAATAACCTGTTTTCTTTCTTTTATTGATTTTGATGTCGCATAGCACACTAAAGGAGACTAATATTACATATATTTTTCACTCGGATAAAGCCGTTGTCACACCTGAAGCGCTCCGGTGAGTGATCCGACAGTCGCTAGAGTGCGCGAGTGAGGGGAGGAGGTTCATATAGTCGCTGCTGCTGCTGTAGAGAGCAGCTCGTGGTTTGGTTGCGTGTGTGAGTCTCTTGGTTTGTTGTTTCGGGAGCGCAGATCGCGTCAGGTCATCCCCGCGGATCGCAGGCGTTTGTCAGAGATGCTCGTGTTTTAGAGGCATCCAGCATCAGTTTGCGTCGCGCTGAAAGGAATGAGAGCAGAGCATCAATGTTTCACTGGGGCAAGTGGAAGAAGAGGATGGGAGCAGCGAACAGTTCATCCAAGAGACCAGTGTTCGACGACAAAGAGGATGGTGAGGATCACACTGCACATCAACATCAGACAGCAGTTTACTTCACAAACTCCTAACACCAGACAGTGCGTTCACCACATGATGTTACACAGTGAATCTGATGTGTAGGGTATCAGTGCATTTAGATGAGCTTTTCTAGATGACCTGGTGAGTGCTTGGGTTTATAAAAACGATGAAGGCAGATTTATACAGGTTCAGAATTATTTATTTTCTAGTTTCCTCCTCAGTTATGTGCAAATTATATTTCCAGGTGGTTTTGTTAGTGGTCTTTGACAGTAAAACACGCATTATTCTTCATTTAAGTTCACTTTTACTCGCATCATCTGAGTACCGTATGTTTAAAAATGTAGTATGCTAGAAATACAGAAGAATCTGAGCTCATGATTGTGAATATAGCCCATGTCTTTCTCAAAATGAAAGGCAAAATTTCCATACAGCAAAAAAAATATGTATCTTTTCAGATATACTTTTGAATATATTTCAAAATAAAGCCAAAAAATACGATACAAACATTTTTCAATCATTATAAATCTATTTTTGATCTCTAGTAGGATATTCACATTTGCATTCAGCCTAAATGTAGGCTGCTGTAAGATTGGAAATGTATTTTCTTGCCCCTGAAATACATTTAGAAATGTATTTTGGTATATGAAGGTTGAAAATGTATTTCATTGAGCTTCACTGTTTACAACATATATTTAAACTATATTTTAGCGAGAGAAAAAAAGAAAATTTTTGTCATATGGGTAAGCAATGCAAAATCTTCCACTTTTTGTTTTCTGCCTCGTTAAGGCGTATTACATTTCAAATCCAATTCCTGTAACAATGTGACTGAAGAGATCAGCTGGAACGCAGACTGTTGGAGCAAAACCTGCCAATTAAATCATTTGCTGTTTAATTGGATAATTAGTGAGGATTATGGAAATCCAGGGAAATTACACTGCTTTATCAGAACAGGCAGTTGAATGGTGACTGAACATGTGTTTGCTGAGTGAGTTATGTGACATTTAAAGATGAAACCTGTTGTCATAGGTCAGAAAAGTGAGAAATGAGGTCAGTTCTGTAATCATTTGATGTGACTGGAGGGGGATGCGTAATGACCCATTTAGATACAGTATGGACTCGATGCTGTGCAAAAATCACTGCACTAATGAATGTGAAAATAATTACAATTATGTGCAGGATAATGAGTTGAGTTCAGGACGGGACTGTGCATTGCATGGGTTGTTCTGTGTCAGTCTGACGGGTTTTATTGATGAACACTGCTTCAGATGGACGTTCAAAGGAGAGAAATGTTAAAAATGTTGGACTCACAAAGCCTTTTGCTTGACATCCTTGACATTTGAAGGTTATGTTGGCTGTACATTCAGACAAGAAAGAAAGAGCTGATGGAAGAACATTCTGTTAAAGGAATAGTTCACCCAAAAATGAAAATGTGCTCATCCAAGATCAGGATGAGTTTGTTTCTTCATCAGGTTTGTAGAAATGTAGCATTGCATCAGTGTCTCAGCAATGGATGCTCTGCAGTGAATGGGTGCCGTCAGAATGAGAGTCCAAACAGCTGATAAAAACATCACAATAATCCACAAGTAATCCACAGCACTCCAGTCCATCAGTTAACATCTGGAGAAGACAAAAGCTGGAACAAATCCAGCATTAAGACGTTTTTAACTAAAATACATTGAGTCTATAATCCATAATAACGCTTCCTCCAGTGACAAAAATGCATCTGCTGTTGTCTCTCACATCAAAATCCAGCCACATAAGTGTTTAGAGCTGTTTAAACGCTGCTTGATCTGTGCAGATTTCTCTCCTGTTTCACACCAGAACACTTTTTTTACTGGAGGAAGTGTTATTATCAAGTCAAGTCAAGTCAAGTCTGCTTTATTGTCAATTCTTCCACATGTACAGCACATACACACAGAATTGAAATTACGTTACTCTCAGACCCTTGGTGCATACAGATAACACTAACAGTAGAACATAAATACAGATAGATACAGATTTAAATATAAAATACAACTATACAATTATACAAATAAGGTAAAATGTAAAAAAATATATAAAGCAGCACAAGGCGCATGGCAGATAGAGTGCAAACCAGTGAAGTAAACAACAGTGCAGATATAATGATTGTAGTGCAAAAGAGCTTATTCAGAATGATTAAAGTGACAGTGTGTGTGTGTATTTGGGAGGGGGGAGTGGGAGAGTCCATCAGATTGTCAGAGATCAGTGG